TCATATACCCACTGCGAACAGAACCAGATTGATGACAGCTTTGCCTATTAATTTTATTGGGATTAGACATAATTGCATCCGGCGAACTGCACAAATTTTGTGCAGTTGACACCTTTTTTCGGCCGTGCGGATTCTCATGACCTTTTAGAGAGTTAAGTTAATTTAAGTTGATGCGCGCACCAAATTCTTACTTATTCTAAAACATCTATTTAAACTGTAATAAACAAGAAGATCGAGACCTACATATTTGCCTTTACCCTTCGTTTAAACTCTTAGTTATCCCAACAACTGAAGTATTTGTCGAAAGTAAGGAGACAATTCGCTCCCTGGCATAAAGCGACAGCCTCCCCATGCCTCAATGTTTAAAAAATATGTCAATATTTATAACTTAAGCAAACACGGAGTTTTTATAATGACCCCTTCGGAAATACACGAATATTTACGAATGCTGACGAGTATATATGAAGCTTGCGGATCAGTTCGGTTCTGTTGCGGTCAAACCTCGGTTAAACCTCACAGTCACCGCGGTTTAACCTCAAAATTACCGCGGTATAACCTCGGTCAAACCTTTAAATCACCGCGGTCACACCGCGGTCAAACCGAGGTTCAACCGAGGTTAAACCGCGGTTTTTGTTAGGTTAATTCTGAGCGGTACTGTATCTATTTGTCTTGCTTACATTTCTGGGATGGCAAGAAATAGTTAAAAGCACTATTTCTTTGAAAGGGAACTATTGGGTAACATGACCTTTTTTAAAATTGGCTATCCAGGTAAACACACATTATTATCCTGGTTAACACACAAGGGGTCTATTTATATATGCATGTTTATTTATAAAAAATACAAATACATTTCTATAATATATTCAAATCGAAGAATAGTTGTTAGGTTTCTTCAACAGTTTTACCATATTGTAAATAATTAGTTTACCTTTGAGATTACCTTCAGTAATACTAGAATGTGACAAAGCCTCTATCTCAGCCACAGATAGCTGACTTCTTCGTTTCCGTTGCGACTGAGGTTGCTTCTGATTCGTATTCTCCCTTACAGATAAGTTTAGAAACTAAAAGTTAATAACATTATATATTCTTAAATCGAATCCAGGAAAATAAATATAAATAAATTAAATTATCTTTACCTTCTGCGATATTCCAAAGACAACAGATGTGCTGCTAAGTCACTATCTCTACATTTTGTATACCCAGCCTCACTTTTCTCCATGCCTCAAATATCGTTAAAGATAAATATATACGTTTGTTCACACTATTCCAGCCTTTTTGCGACCCTATCGATCCACTATATTTTCGTTTTCTTCCAGAATTATCTCGTCTCCCACCATGCGCTACAGCATTTGGCGCCGCCATCTTGGATTTGATAACTTGAAAACTACAGGCTGTAGTTTTCAAGTTTATATGTGTGCAGAAAGGATGTGCACGCGGTGACACAGCTCCTTTAATAACAATAGGGTCGAAAATGTGTTTGTTCTTAGTGCTGAAACAAATGCGCAGTTCTGGAACTTGTCTGTGGCTGCGCGGTTCACTAGAGTGTCTACAGCCGTTTGGATGTTACTGTTTTGATTCCTTCCTACCATCTCTGACGTGGTGGTATTGTTCTGGCCCGCATGCGGGTTTCCCGTGCCTTCATAGTTTATCGTGCTCTCATTGGTCATGCCTGTTCGTCACAGGGGGAGCGTACGGCCTAGGTTGTTGTTTTTGACATTCGCCTGGAAAGACTCACTAGTTTTCTCACCTAAACTCATTTGTAAAGCTTATATTTTCTTTATTAAACGATTAAAAACTGATGAGTTTGTGGTTACACGATCTGATGAAGGGGCCCCGAACAGCTACGAGCCTTGAAGGATCAGAACAGTGAGAAAACTAACCTTAAATACGGCGAAATCATCGCGATATTCTACAAGTTTCTATCGTCATACCAAAACCCAGCCAAAGGGGTGGTAGAAGTTTGGAACAAACTGGGGGAGAGATTTGGGTCGGACGTGGTGCTGACGAAAGCTTATCTTGACAAGATAAGAGGCTTTCCGAAAGTTGGCTACTGGGACAATAAAAAACTCCAGGAGCTTGGGGACCTTCTACTCAGCCTACAGTGTGCTAAAGATGACGGTCAGCTGAAAGGACTCAGAATCCTTGATGAACCAATTTTCCTAAGACCTATCACAGAGAAGCTTCCCAACGATATCCAGAGCAGGTGGCAAAGACACACTACTCTCAGGTGCAAAAGAGAAAAACACACCGACTACCCACCATTCTCCGAGTTCTCCAAGTTTGTGCAAGACATTTCCTTGGAGAGGAACGATCCCAACCTCGTTATTGAGCATCCTACAAACGATGACCCCCTATGCAGCAAACCTAGGCAAACTTTCAAAACTGATATGAAGAGCGATCACGATGACGACTTTCGCGACGTCACCCAGTACAATCCCAACAACTGTGTTTTGCATGAAATGCCTCACCCCACTCACGTCATATTGCGCCTTCCGTGCAAAGTCGATAGAAGAACGGAAAAGTCTCGTAAGAAAACACCGCCTTTGTTTTCGGTGCCTCGCCTCAGTCTCTCACATGGCCAAGGACAGCAAATTCCCTGTGAAATGCTCGGAATGCGGTAGCGACATACACTTAGAAGCATTGCACGTAGATCACCCTCCAAAACCTCCTAAGCCTGGAATTGATCATGGCGGGGCGGGGAGGAAAGAGACGGTCATAAACCACCTTGAAGTGACGACAGCAAGAGAAGGGTCAAAACGATGTTGTGACCGACCCGTCACTGATGTCCTGCCTATCATTTCTGTGCACGAACTAAACAAGCAACATTAACTATCTAACAAACACATTTATATTACTCTTATTTGTTATGTTATAGTGGTAATATTTACCAGGCAAGGAGTGTTCTGGCCCGCATGTGGGTTTCCCGCGCCTTCATAGTTTATCATGCTCTCATTGGTCATGCCTGTTCATCACGGGGGGAGCGTACGGCCTAGGTTGTTGTTTTTGACATTCGCCTGGAAAGACTCGCTAATTTTCTCACCTAAACTCATTTGTAAAGCTTATATTTTCTTTATTAAACGATTAAAAACCGATGAGTTTGTGGTTACACAATCTGATGAAGGGGCCCCGAACAGCTACGAGCCTTGAAGGATCAGAACAGGTATCATAGACATATTTCCATAATTCTTCAACTGTCACAGTGAGTTTGGATAGCAATATTTCGGGTGGAGGATAATCTAGTAAATTCGTATTGTCGATGTCTTGTTGTAAAGTGGGAGTATGAAATACAGAACAGAAATATGAATTGAACAGTTCTGCCTTACCAGCTGGCGTAGTTGCTGTTTTGCCATTATGTGTTATTTTCGAAGTTGGCTTTCCATGGTGGTGTAAGATAGCCATGTGGTAACTCCAGAATAATTTTGAGTTGTCCTTGATAAAACGATTTTCTTGAGATACTTGCGGTGCTTTGCCCTTATCAAATAGTTCACTTTTTGACTTAGTTCGTGCAGATTTTGTTTGCAGATATCAGATCTGTCCTTCCGAAATTTTCTCAAAGCATCATATTTCTTTTTTATGAAATGGCAAACTTCTCTGTCAATGATCTGCTGACCGGAGGCTGTGTGGTTGAAGAAGTGAAACATCTGAAAGAAACAGCAATAGAGATCTTTGGCCGAGCCCAATTCAAGCTTCCCATCAAAGAGTTGGAAACAAGTGATCCTGACAGTAGTGGCACCGATACTGATCAGAGTTATGCCAAACAGCAACTGGGTGTGAAGAGCCAAGAAACGAAGCTCTTGGGAATACCTTGGAACAAGACCAAAGGCAAGATCGGAGTTGCATTTCCTTGCACTGGTAAAGAAGTCGCAGCCAAACGAACAGTGTTATGCCGAACAGTGAACAGTTTGGCCAGTCTGCTTGTTGGGGAAGATGATCTATTGAGATATTTGTGACAGCAATTTACCTTGGGGCAAGGAACTGCCATGTAATCTAATGAGTTGCTGGAATAAATGGTGTAGGAAGTTACCCAGTAAGATTGATGTCCCAAGAAGCCTGGTTCCACACAGAGAAGAGGTCCAAACCATTGTTTCGACCGAGACGGCGAACAGCGGAGGTAGCAAGATAATGAATACAAGCAGTTCTACACTTTGAGGACTCGTAAGAGCAAACATTGACATTTGTCACGGCCATGACAAATGGGGGGAGAGTGTTAAGAATGGACATAATTCATAAGTTATGGTTTATGTTAGTTAATAATTAAGATAAAGATCACATGCGAACTGACTTCTGGGAAAAGACTTGACAGTGAACTTGAAAACAATGTGATTTGAGAGCGAATATAGCGAGAGATTTAGCAAGAGATTTAGGGGGTTTTCTTACAAATAAAACATTACTTCATGCATCAAGTGAACATTGTGGTATAAAAACGCATCTTAATTTTATTCATCTCACCCTGCTTGTATTCTAATATTAATTTGACAACAGCAAACAGTAGCTAATGTTATAAATATTGAAAATTGTAAACACCCTGTTCTGAACACTCCTTGCCATGATGACAAGGTGAATCACACTCATCTGAGGGGAACTAATGTTATTAGTGCTTAATAGTTACTGTAATAGCCAACTGCAGGGCTGAGAATGCTCCATGTAGCAAACTAAATATGGTATGTCATCAATATCTGCACACTTATTTGTTTATCTTGGCTTATTATAATCTATAGTAGCTAAGTGGAACTTTACAGTAATGAGTATTGAGTGTAGACTGTAGATCATTCATATATTTTGTATAAATGTGCAGTCTGATATATTTAGGTTGCTTTTAAAGCAATATACAAATGCTTATCATGTTGTCGAACAACTTTGAAACACCGAAAATGTTAAAAACATTTCCAAATGTACAATACATACACTGCAGCGCTAAGAATTTTAAAAAATGTCCCGTTGTCATCGCCAAAGACAAATCACTTTGGACTTTATATTTATATGCTATGATACTATTGTAATAATTTCATAGTTTATATCCTGCAGGGATTCTAACTGACACTGACAAGCTATTGTAAATAAAGCATAGAATGTCTGCTAATCAGGACATTTTCAATAAATGATAATGGAAAATTCCTACCTACATAAATACTCATGATAGTTGGGAATACACTAACACTTGGGATTAGAATCGCAAAAGTCAACATAATATGCGAACATAATATGCTATATTCACACATATTTTGTCGTCATCAACCAAAAAATGACAATTATATGATATTGGAAATAACATTGACTTACTTTCAAGTGTGAATTGATAATTCCAATAACAGGATGGACATAGATTGATAATATTTTCGAACAGCTTCAGCTTCAGAATGAACCCAGAACCGCCACAAAGTCATAAAATAAATAATAAAGATGCTGATAAGCTGTTATGTCACACACACATATAGTATCGACAAACAGTCGGCAAATAGTCGACAAATAGTCGGTGAACAGTTGGCGAATAAGCAATTAAGAAACTATGCCTTCTATGCCTTTTGAGTTTTAGAAAAAAACTTTATTTAGCACATATTTTGCAGTGATTGCAAGTACATCTCATTCACTTATAGTAATCAAGTAATTACTAGCAGTTTTGTCGTAGGAAATCAAAGATCCTCCAGCCCAGAAAATTATCAATAACCAATCACTTTAATGAGATCACAATTCCCACAGCAATTTATGTATAACAATTAAGCTTCAATAGTGAACCAAATTTTGAGTTTTTGATTTTTTCTGGTTGCCCAACTTTTCAGAACCACATTAACATCTATCGTATCAGTTAAGTCCTTTTCAGATGAGAGGACGACTAGATCTTCAAGCCGTTCACCTTTCATCATTGACCGCAAATAATTCTTGACAATCTTCATTTTGCTGAACGACCTTTTGATGTCTGCCACACTTACTAGCGAAGTAAACAGAAGTTTGTAGCATCTGTAAACGTTTGGGAAAATTTCTTTATTTTCAAACGCAATCTTTCCTGCATCATGGACTGTCTTACATGTTTCTTCAGTCTCATTGACAAAGTTCACAAAAATCTCGCATTCTGCAGCTAATGACAAATAATCTACGCTGACTGACAGAGGAAAAAGCCCAGCGACCTTTTCAACTTGTTAAAAAATCGGTTGGGTCATTGGAGGCTGAAGAATAACAGTTAAAGGTTTGATCTTTTGCAAACAATCTTTTATGTTTTCTCTATACTCTGTATTGAGGGAATCAAGGGCTTCAATCATACATTTTTGATAGCTGGCGTGAAGTATCGTCAACGTCTCAGGGTTGTCTTCCAACCATTTGCTTATTCTTCTACCACTCTTTTTAGCAAACTTGTCTGCGGGAACCTAGCAATTTCGCAAACTCAACACTGGCATCTATTTGATCATTTAATTCAGATTCTTTCCAACGACATAACAGTTTGATCAATCAGTGCAAGACAATCTAGGACATTAAAAGCTCTGGCTTCTGCATCTGCACAGTCAGGATACTGGTCTTTCTCATAATCAACCTCATGAACATCATCGCGAAAACAAACTCAAACTTGGCAATTTTCTTTCGGAGAGAAGCTGCTTTGGTTCTTGCCAAAGCGTTGTTGTCTTTCTCTGTTACTTCCGCTAAGGAATTTCTTATGGCTTCAAAAGAACTCCATACTGCTTCAATTGATTCACTTCTGTACACCCATCTTGTCTTTGCAAATTTGTGCATGTGATTATATGATATATTTGTCCCGATGTAGAGCAAATGTTGGCGAAAATTGCCCTACCAAAACACTGCACTGCACATTGCCCAGCAAAATTGTAAGAACGCCTTTCTTTGCAGCAAATTGCCCTGCAATAACCCGTGGGGGTGTCACACCCCCCAACAGTTACACACCTGCATCTACAAGTTCCAGACCTGTCAACTCTCCCAGTGCCGCCGGGAGAGTCCCGGTTTTTGCCCTTTTCCCCTGGTATGAAGGTACTTTCTCCCGGTTTGTTTTAATTGTAAAAACTGTAGTTAAAATGACTGCAGCATGTGTCGCCATAAGATTTCTTGTCATTTTAAACCACAATATATTATATGTAAGTGATAAAATAAATCAAGGGCAAAAAGCCTGCAAATGAGGTTAAGAATGATTATAGTTAGGGATATCCTAAGGTATAAGATGCAAAAGTGGAGGGAACTTGGGATCTCAGAAACATGGCGTCGAAGAGAAAGCAATCTAATTTTGAATCAAGAAGCACACTAGATCTGCTAAGTATAAGGTTGCTTTTAAAAGCGAGTGGAAAGCTTTGCTTCCTATTCAAGTGGTAAAAAGTAATATTCACAAATTTAATTGCCTTCCAATTGTCATCATCAAGGATTAAAAGACGTCGAAGATCATTGCAAAACGGAAACTCATCTTAAAAATTACTCTTCCTGGAAGAAGCAGCCCCTGTTATCGTTCTTTAATACAGAATTTTTGACATAAACCAATCTAAAGTTGTCACTGATCATTTTTTCAACATGTGTATCACTGAAGGTGAAGATTGTTGTAAAGTGTTTAAGATATTTGAGTCTATTGAGAAGTGTTTTGAGGAAGATAACATGCCTTGGTCAAATTATGTCAGCTTAAGTGTTGATAACACTAACACCATTGTTGGCAGACATACATAACTCAGTGGTTTCACGTTTCCTGGAGAAAAATCCTGTGACGTTTATTGCTGGATGTTCTTGTCATCTGGCCCACATTGCAGCCAGTCATGCCAATGAATCATTCAGTAATTACGTCAACCTTAGTGTGGAATATGTTTGTGTAGATTGTTATTATTGGTTTGACAAAAGCACTAAGAGAAAAGGAAAACTCACTGAATTTTGCAATCAAGAATACCAGTCTGTGCTAAAACAGCTTTCTGTTCGTTGGCTCTCATTAGAGCGATGTATGGAGAGAATATTGAAAAAGCTACCAAGTTTAAAGGCATATTTCCAGAGCAAAGATTTCCAAGATGCTAGGTTCCAACGTTTAAATCATTGGCTTGCTAATTCACTTCCTTCAATCACTTACTTCAAAGAAAGGAGCCAACTATTCATATTCTCATGGCATCAATGGAGCATCTGGGGAGAAAAATTGCCAATAGAATCATTAAACCTGAAGTGATGCAGAGTTTCTCGTCAGTTACAAAGATAGATCTTAATGATGATGCAATATTTATTGATGCCAGATCTGTTTTTTGTGGTGGCACTACAAAATTTACACTAAATAGATTATGGAATGATGGTAGCATCTCTGAAAATGACTACATGAAAGTTCATTATGGTGCATTACATTACTTTAAGGGCGCTTTAAAATACATTCTAGAGAAGTTCCCAATCAGCAATGAAGTCATTTGCAACAGCATTTGGATAGAATGTTGAATTTTTCTTGGAAAAGTTTGCCAATGTTTCTTTCACAATCAAACAAGACAACTTGTAAGAGGAATTTGTTGATTTTCGAACACTTTCAGACAATGACATTGGCTAAACTGCCTGGAGTGAAGCAAAAGTGATTGATGGAGAAGATGAAGATGGTAACACTTGGAGAAGATGAAGATGGTATCTCTTCTAGCAGAGATAGTGCTTGTGATTCCTCACAGTTACGCGGGACAGGAGAGATTATTTAGTGTTGTTCATAAGAACAAAACAGACAGTAGGTCGTCATTGAAATTGGACGGGTCCCTTTCAAGTAACCTCGCAATGAAGTGCCATAATCCAGAAGCAGTTACACCATGCTATAAATGGCAACCAGATGAAGATCCCCTCAGAAGTCCAAAAAAGCAACAAAAGTGTACAATGACAAACATAAGAAACAAACTGTGCTAACTTTATTTGATTCAGATTCAATTTGTTGTCTTTGGAATTTGAACTTAGCTGTTGGGAATTAATTATTCCAGTTTTTAATAAAGTCTCCCTGTTTTGGATAAAATCTCCAGGTTTTTTAAGGGCTGAAAAGCAAAATCTCCCTGTTTTAAATTTTTAAGGTTGACGGGTCTGAAGTTCTCTAACCTAGCTTGTTTAATTAGTTCAACTCAAATGTGGTATTGTCATTGATGTGTCCAAATGACCAAATAAAGCACTGGCTTTATTTATACTTACACTACAAAGCTAGGCAGTTTCAGTATGAGAAGTCTTTGGTATCAGAATGCCAAGCATCCCTATTTAAATGCTACACAATTTTCCAGGTAGTGCCAAACTTTCATGGGTTGACAACCCATGAATATGCACTTCCTAGGCTAGATGATGTCTCTTTCAAGGGTTGTTGTGGAAAAGTTAATTCCTTGTTCCAAAAAAACTGATATGAAATTAATATTGATGTCTGTAATGTTATTAATTTCCAGGGCTCAAAATAATGGCAGATCACAAGTTAATTAAGTATTCAGTTGAAAGGTTTTTGAAACAAGTATGCTTGTATGCAGTAAATTGTGCACAGCAAAGCAAGCTTATTTTTTATTACAGCAGCATTTCAGAAACTATATATATACAGTAGAAAACAAATCATAAATAGTTCCATTTATTCAAATAATTTTAAGCTTCATCTGATTAAGGTTAAGATGACACATTTTTCTGACACAAGGATATATCAGCTTAAAAGTATTTGGAACAAATAAGTTTGCAATCATGCAAGATCATGCAGTGGATTGTGCATAGCGAAGCAAGCATGTTGAATTCATGGCAACATCACTTTGGCAACTCAAATTCCATTTGAATTTAGAAATCATAGTTCCATATGCCTATTTATTCAAATAATATTAAGCTTCAACTGATTAAGGTATTAAAGATGAAACATCTTCAAAATCTGTCAGCATACGATGACACATCTTTCTGACACAAGAGTATATCAGCTTAAAAGTATTTGGAACAAATAAATTCTGGTTTATATGCAGTAAATTGTGCACAGCAAGAGAAGCATATTATTTATCGCAACATCATGTTAGCAAACCCAATTCAAAAACAGATAGTTAATAGTTTAATAGTAATTCCAAAACTTGCAGCTATGCAGCTGAATTATGATGGATAAAAAATTACAATTTTAATATAAATAAATATATATACAACCAAGCTAATATTAAGATTAAACTACGAATTACGACTATAGCATTAGGAATACTAATTTAGAAATGTTAAGATTGTTAAGATAAGGTTCGAACTTGATATCGACCTGCGCTAGCTATTACAAAAGAGTTTTTAAACCGGTTCGTTTTGCATCTTGGTAACCTAAATACTCACTTGTTCCATAGGTTATATTGGCATTCACTGATCATAGGTGGTAGTAAAGCGTGAAGTTTATGGTCTGTTTATTTAATACAGTATCCTATAAGTTGATTAGAGAGCTTTCTGCCATTATTTTGAACCATGTACTTTGTAAAACGTCGAGATGAAGTTGCAGAGACTGACATAAACCTACCCCTACCCTTCCTGACTGCTTTCAACACACCTGTTAATGACTGAGTTACTGTAGTTATTTACTTACTGTACCTTTTCCAGGACTATGAAGATTCTTTAAAATAAACACATGATGAGATGACATATCCTACCGGTGTTGGTGCTGTCACAACGTCTACTGGCTTTTTGAGGTTGTTTAGATTCAATCCATCATAATCATACCAATGTCCATCACTCTGAACCCTCCAAGTAAAGTGAAGACCATTCCAGAATGTACGTCCTCCAATGTAATATTCCGTATTGTTGATGGTAAACTTTGACAGTAGCTCCTTGGGATGTTATAGTTTGCCAGCATTTACCAAGTGACAGCACTGAGATTGTTCCCAAACATGGTCTTCCAGAACCAGATAAGTTCCCCTTCTCTAATCACAGCTGTTTCAGGTGCAGGAGCATCAAACGTTACACTGCAAGCATGTGGGGGCTGGTCTAACAAGTGCTATAATACTATTTTAAATGGGTTATTTGCTCCCAATTCAAAAGCGGAATTGAGAAGACTAATGGATGCACTCTTTATAAGCTTTTCTTTCTGTAGACAGTGATCTGAGTTGCATGTTGAGATGAACTTGCTTGACAAGCATGGGCAATACCATATCTTGCTCATATCTTGAGGAGAACGAAATGTCGCATTTTGGAAATTGACGTAACCAGTGCATCTTGCCTCTAGCAAAGTCCTTATTGTTTCAGGTGTTGGTAACCATAGTGTTGTGTCAAAGTTGATGAATTGATGACATAAATTAATTATTGAACCTTGGTGCCTATTTGTAATAGTATCCTAGAAACAAAACTTTGTTTAATATTAACTACTGAATTAATTTCTTTAATATGTTGACTAAATATTACATAGTGCAAATTGTTCTCATCATATAAAAACAACAATTGTGCACCATATTCTAATGCTGCATGCCAACACAGCATTCGAGGCGCATCAATCAACGATGTTCAAGTGAGTGTTTGCGCACACCTTACATGATATGGTACGCATACAAATTGATACAATAAGTGGCTTCTTTATAGGAAAACATTCATTTTTTCCCATCAGACGTTAAATGGGTCAAACTTGAAGACTTGCGAGACGATGAAGGTCGCCAAGTATTGCATCGCCATTTCTTTGCCGGGGTGAAGACGTTATTTATCACTGGCACAACAGATGTTATGTTCTCGACGCTTGGAGTAAGTAAGGCATTCGAATCAGTGCTATTGTTGTCCCTATTCAACTATGATTTATTTGTTTCATTTTTTGGTGTTAGCGACTGTTGACCACTAAACCTGACTGACTGACCTCGCCTATGGTAAACCTTCCTCGCCGGTAATGCCCGCAGCTTTTTTGCAACTCTGGTCTGAAGACAATGACAGTATTCGAGATCATGCAGGATTGGCAATTAAATGGGCAAGGGATGTAATATTTAAAGGACAACATGAACTCCAAGCAAAGGAATCTGTTGGCGAAGAATCGCAAGTCATTTATGCCAGTAAATCAGATGCAATGTCAGTCATATCTCTTTTAGGAGAAGACAGGAAGCAGCCTGATAAAAGTTACAGATTTTATGTTTATGAACATGTCGTTCCTTTTTTATTTTTTTTCATATTTTCGTCAAAAATCGTTTAAGACCAATCAATATTGTAAGGGAAAAGGGAGCATTTTGAAGTATTGCCTATACCAAATGTCAGTAAATAAAGAACTGAGAGATAGATGGAATGAACTTACACCCAATTCAGATATGTGAGCATCAGTTGTTATGCAACAAGTGGTCACTTTTTTCAGTAAATCCAAGCAACAAATTTTTTGGGAAAAAGAAGGTCTGAAACGAGTGTTTCTTTACGACAGCAAATCAGGCAACCAGAAAAAAGGCTCAGCCTTGTCCTACTCAGATGAATGAACATGTAGAAACCTTGAGAAGAAATTTCACAAGTTCTGATTTGAATGTGTTCTTGGTACATCTTCAAACTTTGGCCCAGTCTGAACAAGAGCATACATTGAAGAATCTCCAAGGGAAAGAACTAGCAAAAATTTTGAAGGCTTTGGGGCAGCCTGCGTTTATGGAAAAGAGAAAAGAAAAACAAATAAATACCCATCTTGAGGCAGCAAAGGGAGGTCTGGTATGTGCTAAGTTTCCTGATGAGGTATGCATTTAAAACAACACCATAACATATTTTTGAGCAAGAAAATTTATTGATCATATACTGTAACATGCATAATTATAAATATGTTATCTACAGTACATATTTAATAATGGAACTGTCCGAACTTGAAGTTCAACAAACAAATAATAAACAAGCAGTGGTATAGCCAGGGAGGGGCAGATAATTATTTCTGGAACTGTTCTTAGCCCCCCCCCCCAAATGAACTGGGGGTACTGGTCATTAATAATAGGCTAACCATGACTTATCATGAAGTAACAAAGACAACAATTACTCCAATTAGCCAAGTGTTTGCTGCATTTCTGGTGTCACATTATTTCTAGATGGCAGACTAAAGTCACAGTAAGTGTCATTACTCGTTAAACGCACACCGGAATATTTATTTGTCAATTGCTGTATAGCTGTTATAGTATATGTAGCATATAAAGGGTGGTATGGCGTACATTGCAGGCCTTGTTATTTTACAGAAGAATATGAATATCCTTTTCTTTTACATGTACGGTATTAATATTCCTATAATTACCAAATTATCTCATTTTACTTTAGCGTCAATAGGGTGCATATATCAGGTTTGTGTGCGGAAGTAATAAATTTACATTAAACGTGTGAACTACATAACAAGAAACCATTCATTTTAACATGATAAATGTACAAATTGTACAATAAAAACCTCACAGAATGTCAAAATAGAAATGTTAAGGACTAAGTGCATGCCAATAGAGAAAGTCGCATAAAGTTTCACTTGTAATTGTGGTCTTGTGGGTAAGCATATAAAATGTGCCTTGTAGTAAAAAGGAAAGGTCAAATCAAATTAATCCTAGCCCTAGGCTCCTAGCCCACTTACCAATGTAAATGATCATGATTCGAGAAGTTCTGGGGTCTGTTGTATCAAAGGCGTTTAACTTAAACAGTGTTTAGCGCTATCCAGCATATAAATTTCCTATCTACCGTATTGCATTGTATGAAGCTCGTTTAGTGTCACGTTTATCTATCTGCGGATAAGTTTACTTCTAACCGGAGTAAAACCGGGTTTTTCATGCTTCATGCATGCATGTCGTAAGGCGGGAAAAACAAAATGGACAGCAAACGAGCACAAAAGCCAAATTTTTCTTCCGCTGAGTGCGCTTTAATTTTGCAATTAGCGGAAGAAAACATTGAAATTGTACGGGAAAAATTTTCTTCAACTATAACAACAGGCGGCCCAATCTCAGAATGAATGATCAAGTGTTGCAGGTGTTTAACGGTTTTTATAAACAAATTTATAGTCAACCAAAACAATTCTAAAAACATTCTCAAATTAGTCAAATAAATACATTTTAACAATAAAATATAGTTGACATGATAGTATAATACCTTTGCATTCTTTTAATTACTCCATGAGCCCATTTAGAGTGGGTTGATGTAACATTTTCTGTGGCCTACATTGTGTGTGCTCATTATATACAGGGTGTATCAAAATAAATGCAATTCATCTTTTGTGCTTAATAACTTTCGAAATACTATTTCTAGTTAAACGCTTTTAGGCTTACTTCAAAGCCTGTTCTTTTCTCTTTCAAACAAACTATTATCCTTGTCTCCAATGCTAGTAATAATTGCACAGGAAAAGATTTGGTAAAACCTATCATTTTTAGTTGCTGTTTAATTATGCAAGTTTACTATGTTATTGTTTAGTCTGTTTAAATGTTAGAATTTTCTTCTTTAAACTTTAATGCTGTCGTCACTACATCTGGAAAACCACGTAAGAACAAATTAAAAGTATTTTAAAAGAGACCAGGTTGTTTGAAAATCCTAAAATCATAGAATCAAAACATTCTGGTGTCTGAGCCAGAGTGTCATCGAATTGCGATGTAATGTAAACAGAAATTATAGCAAGCTGATGTCAGTCAGCTTAGATGGTCCAAGCCAAAATTATATCGCATTTGAAGTTTCAAACTGTGTTAAAAATAGTGGAAGAAAAGCCGTAATTATACTTATTGTTACAATCCATTTATTAAAATGCAACATTTTTTTGTTTTAATGAAAAAATCAGTTATTTTCATGAGAACGATTTGTTATTCCATCTCAATTTTTTTAATCTCCAATCGCAATAACGTAAAGTATTATTACCCGCGAACCAATGAGTCAAATTTAAGAAACAACCCACTGTTAGAAAGCTGAATGGCTACGCTTTAAAATGAATGTAAACTTTAACGTTTTCGTCTATTATTTATTTAGCAATTTACATTTCAGTCGAGGATTGCGCTTTTTATGATACACCCTGTATAACAGTAAAAGGCTAATCACTGGCGGCACGACTGCATCACCTTCAAAGTCAAATATCTCCGCTTAAATTTGTCGTACGGCAAAACAAATTCGATTACATCTTTTCAGAAAGATTTCTCGTTCTAAATAATATGGTTTGATCATAGCTTGGGCAAATTTAGCGATGAACGGAACCAAAATCTCCTCAAGTTCCGATATTTTCAAGATACTTAGAGCTGCTCGGGCACAATCGTGGACGTGACTTAACAAACACATACTGACAATACCGCCTTACGTGGGGTGGTACAGCATCAAAGACAAATTATCGTCTGGATTCATATGCTGTCCCACCCCGGGTAAGGCAGTATTGTCACGTCCACTATCGTGCCTGAGCAGCCCTAAGCTATTTTGAAAATATCCAAAATTGAGGAGATTTTAGTTCCGTTCGTCGCTAAATTTGCCCAAGCTACGATCAAACCATATTTAGAAAGAGAAATCTTTGTGAAAAGATGTAATGAAATTTGTTTTGCCGTATGACAAATTTGAGCAGAGATATTTGACTTTGAAGGCGATGTGGTTGTGCCGCCAGTGATTAGCCTTTTACTGTTATATTATATATAATGAACACACACAATGTAGGCCACAGAAAATGTTACATCAACTGCTGTAAATGAGCTCATGGAGTAATTAAAAGAATGCAAAGGTATTATACTATCATGTGAACTATATTTTATTGTTAAAATGTATTTATTTGACTAATGTGAGAATTTTTTAGAATAGTTTTGGTTGACTATAAATTTGTTTATAAAAAACGTTAAAAACCCACAACACCTGATCATTCATTCTGAGATTGGGCCGCCTGTGCCATAACAAACAAAAGGAAACATGCTGTTTGGCAGAATATCTGAAAAAAAATCCGTGCTCTTGGCATTGCAAAAAGAAGTGCAACAGACATAAAGAAAAATGGAGAGCGATGCGAAATGAAGCACGGAAAGATCTGAAGACCTTCGAGTTCGCTCGGGAAGACCGGGAGAGGAATTGTGCCAGCTCCAGTGAAACCAACGAGCCAGAGAATAATTTCTCTTTTTGGAGACAAACTTGGTTTTTCAGGGATTCAAGGTGGCATTGAGTCTGGTAAGTGACTGATCATGCGCAAGAAATATATTATTAAAGTAACAGCAAATTTCACAAGCTTTTATGCAAAAGCTATGCCTACAGCCTCGTCACCCCTTGTTGCTTTAATACTTTGCATTGTTTGCTGTAAAATTGTTTTAAGAGTAGTTAACAATGTCAAACGAGGCAACAAGCTTTATCCTTTGTGTGAAGGGCTGTGACACAATAGCTATTTAAAGATAAGCACATCTTCATTTTGTTAAAAATTGTTTTTATACAGTTTTAATTTATTGTTTTTGATATTGCCATTGGAGTCCTTCAAAAACTGCCTTTCATATGTGAGAACATATAATTGTAGCTAACATACTGTAACATATCGAATATAAACACAATGTGATTTGTTAAATATGTTTCATTTTCAATAAATTTTAAACTTAATGTGTGAAGGTTAAAAATTTTCAAAATTTTGTCTTAATTTATAGAATTATAGTTTGCCTTTAAATTATTTAAACTTCACTTGTCAAACATGATTGATGCTTCCATATAAAATACTAAATACAGTAGCTTGTTATGCATTTCCTTTGAAAATTGTCATATGTATTTTCTATGAACTAGTGTACGTGTCAACAACTGAGCCAGAATGTGCAATGAGGTTGAAATTCACAGCAGAAATTGAAATTCACGAGCTGTTGGCAAGAATGCCAGCCCCTTAATTTGGTTATTGAAAACACTAATTAATTTAATATTGTCACAGCACTACTTTCTGTTGCCTTTGTACTCCCCCTTCCCGGCTTCCCCTGTATAAATTTCATGTCAGTGCATAATTAGGCAGTTTTATACAATATTTCTTGTTGTGCTGTGACCAGGGTCTTAGCTAGAGGGCCGTGTTGGCCGTGTTATCGCGGCCAAAAATGGAAAAACACGGCTAGATAAAATGAACGCGGCTTCATTATTTATATAAGGCCGTGTACAGTAGGTTCATTACAACAGACAGAATTTCTTTCTATTTACGTCATAAGAAAGTTTGTAAAATCTATTGTTGTTGTTGAAATTGGCAAAAGTGATCCGTGATGTTTTAATGTTTTGATGGATAATGGGAACCGAAAGGTGTTAAAGTACCCCCAAGAGTTGCTGAAATAACTTAACATTTTAATGTCAGTGCGCAATATGAGTATATATACTCGCCTTGTATTTGGTTGCAAAGCATAGAACAACCACAGGCATTGTCCGTTGTTGTAGAACCGTGAATTTGGCTATTCAAGGTAATTGACATGTGCACACCCTGATCATTTACTGAGAAACACGCCCAAGATCTAAAATCCTAGCTAAGACCCTGGATATCTATGCAAGTATGCATCCAATGTGATTATCCTCTATCAAATCAAATGGAAATCCATTGAAATCCTGAACTAAAAGTGGCACTCCCTACCCTTTTTTAAATTAAAGATTTTCTAATTTGGATATGATTTTCTGGACAATTATTACTTGCCCAAAAACAAAACCTGGACAAAAATGTTTAAAATCATGAAAATAATTCAAAATACAAAAAGAAATTATTTTATGAAATAAAAAACGGGGGTAACCGAACTTTTAAAAATTCTGAAGAATACCGAACTCCTCAGTTGTTGTGTTATGCCAGTCAGCCAGTCACATACTCATAATAATTCTCCAGAAATTCATATCCAAATCAGAAAATCTTTACAGTAATTTTTAAAAAAGTGTAGCACTTTAAGCAACCTTAATACATTTACTGGCAGCAGGCTCCCCTTGACAAGTAGGGCATATCATGAGGGTGTATTGCTGGTTTAATTAAGTAAACAGTTAAGGTGGCTCCCTACAGTTATTCTTGTTTAAGCAATAATTCTGTAAAACAGGTTTATTCGTGCAGAACGCAAATTCTTTTCGACTTGGTGGCAATATTGGTCACCTAAGGAATATTTCGAACTAGATTTCGACAACGTCAATGTTCCCATGGCAACATGACGACAGCATAAACCTTCAATTTAACCCATAAATGTGCTGCTATCTCAAAAACGATGTCGGTGACCTATCTTTTTTATTTCATATATCAATAGGGAATGATGATCTGTAACTGTGGTGAAAGTTTAAAAAAAATCTGTACTGTGTGATTTTTTTAAAAGCGATTTTTTCTAAAAATTGAAATTTATAAAATTTACCACAAAATAAATTCATGGTCAAAATTTGAAGATAAGGTCACCGATGAAACTAATGAGTAAAACGCAAATAAAGTTAGAAAATAGCCTCGTGTAACTCGAGAAATTCACCTTATTGAAAAGCGTCGCTGACTAGTAAAAGATTGTATGCGGGCGCAGAATGGGCTTTCATTCAGCAAAATCGAGCGTCAACTTTTCGATTTATTTGAGTGCCATGGACAGCCAAGGATTATTGTGAAGGATCAAATTGATGAAAACAACAAAACCTCTTTAAGGTTGAAGCTAATTGAACCCTGCCATTTACTCAATCTATGAGCTGTAACAGCCTATTAACAGGTGGACATGTTTTTTTTCTTCATGTTTGGTTTTGTACTTTTTGCTAAAAATGAACAATTAGGTTATGAAACTGAAATATTTTTCTGTTTACATATAATCAGTTTAATCTTGTAGAAACAAGACTAAAAACTTGTACGTTTTCTTCAGAAGTAAACAACTTTTTAAAAGTTTGTATGCAATTTTGCAAATGTTTTACAGTGTATATTTAAAAAAAATTAAAAAACATTGTTTCGTAGCTATTTTTTGGTCTAGTGATGTTCATATCATATGTAGAATTGCTGTCTAGACTCGCAAGTGATTTGGCACTCAAAACAAAGTATTATTCAATGCTTTTTCCATTAGAAACCTTTCACTTTTTTTTAAAAAAAAACTGTGGTCAATTTTTGTTTTGTTTTAATCATGCAGTTGTGTGGGATAGTTCACGTACTGGTCCCACGAACATCCCGCACGCAACTGTAGGGAGCCTCCTTAAAGTGGAAGTCAAGTCCGTTCTGCTCATAACAACGTGAGGACCTCTAATGTGAACATTGCCCAAATTTCGAATGTTTCGAATTTTTCTGAAAATAAACTCTATTTCATATTCATTTAGAAGCATAGCGAACCAAAATGGTGCTAGATATTTGGACAGTAAATCATATTTTAAAAATACAGCAGTTCAAAATGTAAACAAACCGTTTGTTTACATTACGGACTTGACTTCCACTTTAAGTCATAGTCAAGAAAAATATATTTGAACCAATATACTACATGGGGTGAATTAGTGGAAAGGTTTTGAGCTACAAACAGTAGAGAGTGGTGTTTTGTGTGTTAATGGTTATTTATACATAAATAGGTTACACAATAAATTGTTCATAAATACTTTTAGGATAATGTAAATATATAATGCATGTACATAAGTTACAATATTGATGAAAAAAGTTGAAATAAGTACGAAATGTTCAATATTACGTATATATATTCAATAAATATTCTTTGCAATAATTAGTTTTTATCTTATTGAAAATATGTGTCAGTAATGTGGGCCCTCACTGCTTGACCTGTCTCAATACCAACAAAATTGTTATAATCATCCTCATTCCAGGGCCCATCATCCTCAAAATCAGGGAAGGGTTCATTATTGTCTATTGCAATATTGTGCAACATGCAACCACTATGGTGCACACCCTGTCGGGACTCATCCGATTCTCAGAGTGTAACACATGAAACCTTCGTTTGAGAACACCAGAACTTCTTTCAATCAATGACTGAGTCACTTTCAATGCCCTGTTGTACCGTCTTTCAGGTTGTGTTACACGTTCAGGGTATGGGGTCATGAGGTATGGTAAGCATGCATATCCACTGTCTCCTATTAAGACACCATTTTCAAAATTGGTTCCCTCTAAATGCTGGTGGATGTTTGAGGTGCGAAAGATGTGGCTGTCATGAGTTGACCCTGGCCATCTAGCAACAACATTGATGAATTTCCCTATTTGAATACAAAAATAATTTGTAAGAATTCTTTTTTAATTTCACATTTATAATATAAAGCATGTAGTCCCCATGAGGAACCATGAGGATGAATATAATACAATATTTGTAATAATCTAGAAGAACACTGAACCACTGCCAGCAGGGTAGAAGAACACATAAAACAAGCAAAATTATATTTGTTTGTTGTACAACAGTTCCGGCACGCCCACATCCCGGCTTAACAATAATTGTTACTTTCTATCAACTGGCAAAGAAATACAAAACTAACAAAAGTGCTATAAAAGTATAATGTTTTAGATGTTATATTTGACAACATACCTTTGTGGTCACAAATGCCTTGCACATTTATGCTGTGGTACCACTTATCGGTTGGGGATTGGATCCTTATATGCGAACCATTGACAATACCGATTGCACAAGAGAAATTGGCGATATCGTATAAGCCTTGCTTTATAACATCTCGCTGCTCTTGTGTTTCGGGGAACTTTATAAACTGGTTAATCCTCTGGGAAAGAGCTACCATTACTCTTTGTATTATTCTGCTAACAGTGGACTTATCTAAGCCTGCAATCGTGTCTCTGGTCACTTGTTGAAAACTTCCAGATGCCAAGTATCAGAGGGTTATCAGGACTTGTTTTGTCGCAGAAACTGGGTGAGTGCAATTAGTTGCAGGACGTATTTCATCTTCTACTAGGCATGTTATGTACCGAATAGTTTGCCAACTGAAGCGATAGTGTCGCCATAACTCTTCGTCATTATAGTACAGCAACATGTCGTCTATTTCACGCCTGAAAATTCTCTCAGCACGTCTATGTACTCTTGGAAGATCGTACAAATAAAAAATATTACAACAGTGAACACAAATTTTGATTTTATCTGCTGGATAGTGAGTTAAATGGTCTTAATGTCACCGTTTAAAGTTATCCACCGTTTAGCAAAATTTAACTGGTGGATAGCGCTAAACAGGTTTGATACAACACGATTTCTAGAGTGTTTAAATTTTATCCAGCGGATAGTGATTTAAACAGTGTTAGTGAGTTAAACGCTTTTGATACAACCGGCCCCTGGTAGATAGTGTTTACCTAATAAATACAAAATAAGAAATAAACACGCCCTATTTACACCAAGGAAATTCGTCATGGACTGTGAGAGTAAAAATATGTCTTCCTGTTCATTTGATTTATATAGATATATATATATATATATATATATATATATATATATATAGATATATATATATATATAGATATATATTAGATATAGATATATATATATAGATATATATATAGATATATATATAGATATATATATAGATATATATATAGATATATATATAGATATAGATATAGATATATAGATATATATAGATATATATAGATATATATAGATATATATAGATATATAGATATATAGATATAGAGATAGATAGATAGATAGATAGATAGATAGATAGATAGATAGATAGATAGATAGATAGATATAGAGATAGATATAGAGATATAGAGATATAGAGATATAGAGATATATAGATATATAGATATATAGATATATAGATATATAGATTATGTTATGCCATTCCTGCTGTAATATCTAAAGGGATCACCATAGTCGTAACCCCATTATTGGCTTTAATGGATGAGGTTAAAGAGGTTAAAGCAAAAAATGTCTGTTTGCTACATTAACTCAATGATGCCAGAAGATGAGAAAGATATTGTTCTTCACTGTCTTTCTCAAAAGGATATCCCCTATGATATACTGTTCATTACTCCTGAAGCATTGCTTGCCCCTCAACTTCAAGCAATTGTAAAGAGAATGTCAGAGGCAGGAACATTATCAAGAATTGTTGTGGATGAAGCCCATTGTGTGGACACATGGGGGGATGACTTCAGACCAAGTTATTCAAACCTTTCTATTTTTAAAGAACATAATGTTCAAATAGTTGCATTTACTGGAACTGCAACTGAAGTTACTGCTCAGCATATTATTGATAGCCTAAAACTTTCTAATCCAACCATTTTGAGAATGTCTTTGGATAGACCAAATTTGGTTTTTAAAGTTTTAGAAAAAAAGGAAACAAAGTCTATGGAATATGTGTCTGAAATGGTTATTAACAAATTTCGTGGACTATGTGGAATAGTATATTGTTTCTCAACACGCGATACCTTAGACATGGCGTATCACTTAAAACAAAGGGGAGTAAAAGCAGTCTATTATCATGGACAGTTGGACTTGTTCAAACGGAATAATAATGCTACCACATGGCTAGAAGGTCGGTCAGATGTAATGTGTTCGACAAATGCATTCGGCATGGGAATCGATAAAAGAGATGTTCGCTTTGTTATTCATCATTCAATGCCCAAGTCAAATGAGGAGTATTTTCAAGAAGCTGGGAGAGCTGGAAGGGATGGGAGTTCATCATCTTGCATCTTGCTATTCAGGTTCCAGGACAGAGGAAAGCTCCTTAAGCACATCAGTGAAATTGAAGATGATGCTCACAAATAAAATGCAAAAAAACGGCTGGATGAGATAACAAAGTATTGTGTTGACAACAAATGCAGAAAACAATCAATGCTTAATTATTTTGGTCAGGCAAGCCAGACTGGTCTGTGCCAAATGTGTGTCTCAACAGCTTGGACAGTTCGACATCTCAAGATGTGACCTCCCATGCAATGGATCTCATTAACTGTATTATTGAAATCCTTGGTGTCCTAGCTAAAGTTTCCCCAAAGTGTATCATCAAAGTGTATCGTGGTCACAGAACAAAAGATATTGTTGAAAAGGGGTTGCATACACTGCCATCTTTTGGAAAGGGTAAAGCTATTTTCAAGAATGATAAGGGTGCATTTAAACTTATTCACGTATTGATTGCAATGGGATTTTTATCAGAAAATTTGCACAATTCAAAAGATGCTAATATGACACCATTTATAACTGTAGAAGACCATTCGGATCTTTCAAATGGAATAAGAACTATAGTTATGTGAGTATTAATTAAGGCTAATTTCCACTCAGGAAGATTATCTGTGGATTGGAACGGACAAGAAAGATTTTCCTTGTCTTGTGAGCTCTGGGTTGGAACTAATGACTTTAACACAAAGAAAAATTTTCTTGTCCGTTCCAATCCACGTATAATTTTCCTGAGTGGAAATTAGCCTTTAGAGGTGTGCATCGGATCGGATGTTTATGATCCGACCATTGCCTAACGTTAAAAATCCGATCCGAAATTGTCTAATCCGAATCCGATCTGAGTTTTGATAAAGAATTCCAATCCGATCCGACGAATTCTTTAATAAAATAAATTTCTCATTCCAGTTGAAATATTTAACCAAATAAATATAAATATAAAAACAAGAAATACATGTCAAGAAGCTGACAAAGTGACGTCCAATTGAAGTATCAAACGAATAATGCAGTGACAACCACGATAATACTTTGATAAATTCATGGTAATTAATTATTGCAATAATGTGTGAATAATTAATTCATTTTATTTCGGATATCGAAGTCCAATCTGATCCGACAGAAACAACTTCATCAATCCGATCCGGTTCCAAAATCCGAACAAATCGGATTTGCACACCTCTAGTGAGTATAATCATGTGTATGATTGCATGTGTTCTCTGGTGGCAAAGTTTGCCATGACAACTGCCACATTCTGGTAATTATATGCTAATAAATCTGCATCAAAGGCCCCAATTACACGATACCAGATTCACATCACAGCGAGGTGAGCAACATCAACTAATGATGCTTTTCCTTACATGGCCTCCTTACAACGTTTCATAATTATACAACTTTTTACAAGTTTTAGACTACTGTATTTCTGTTATATTATCATAATTTTGAGAGATAAACTCCCCTTGAAACTCTAAAATTTGATGATGCTCCAATGCAAATCCGGTATCATGTAACTGGGCCTAAATAGGTTAAGGACAATACACTACTGTATGTGACTCAGTGTCTGAAATTTGCAGTATCCCGATATTCACAGGATACTAACATTTGCTTTTGCATACCAAACTGTGAATGACTTATATCCCGACTGGATATCACAAAAATTTCAAATATTACGATAATGCTGAATGTCTCCAGTGGTTTCCTTATAGCTTTGAAATTATGAGTACCCAATATGCCTTCTAGAAAATAACCAGCCTTGAACTTGTTGGTCTATTTGTCAACTGTTCATTCTCCTGTTGTTGTTGTAATTTATAACAATGAGAGACATTTACAGTACTGTATATTTACTTTGATGGTTCAGTGATGCCAAAGTTTATGGTAACCAGTATCAAGCAGTGGGATACCAAAATTTGAATGCTGGTATCCCAGTGGCATACTGAAAAATATGTTAAATTTTAGACCATTCTATGTCTAGCTTTGCCATGCTAATTCATTAGCTTTTCTGGCACATTATGTCAACCATAAGTCCTGTGCCATGGGTTCATGTCTGATGAAGGTACAGGTATAAAACTCATCCTAATTAGTATTCTTTATACCCTTTATATAATGCTCATCCTTATGAGACGGCATCTATTGTTCTCGTGTTTGAAGCCATTTAAAACACTTGTGTTACACAGTCACATTGTAAATTAGGAAATTTAAAATATGATAAAACACTTGTGCTCATGTTTTAAATAGTAACATATATTGGTCCAATATCATAATGTTGAAATATCTATTTGATTTATTGTTACATATATTTCAAAAGAAATAAGGTAAAGTACCCGCTACTTCCTTTTTCAAGATAAACTTGCTACTTGCATTAACATTTTGGAAGTAGAGATTTAAGTGTATATAGACATGTAAATTCATCAGTTACTTTCTGGTTGTAGTACAGTAGTACATGTTATATTTAATATTGTATTTAATATCTTACTGTAGTTTTTTAATCATTTCCTTTATTTGTAAAATTATGTTGCACACGTTCCTCATGGAAATAAATATAAATAAAGTTTATAAATTTATCTACTGTATCCCCTTTGAAAATGCTTATTAAAGTTTAACAGTTTTAGGAGAATCTATATACAGAAAAACTATCACCACTAAATTAAAAGTATTAAAACCCCCAAATGAAACAACTGTAATTTGTTAGCCTTGGCTAGTTAATTGTATAACAGAGTTCAGTACTTTGAATGTCTTGACAAGGGTATATGTATGTGACAATTTGAATTAGTTTTACATCAGGCTAGAAATAGGAAGAACATATGGCCTGCCAAACTATTTTCTGTTGGCAGGTCATATAAATTATGATGTGATTTCTTGCACTTCACTTGGTGGAATTAACTCTGGTAGGAATTGAACCTACGGTCCTGTGATTCCGGTGCGCTGCACCGGAATCGCAGGGCCGTAGGTTCAATTCCTACCAGAGGACCTTGTGCTGCATTTTTCGCAGTCGTTCCTGGTCAGGTCTTAAAATGTATATAATCACTTGGATTTACAAACCCTAACATTCTAATCATATAAATTATGGTCTTCCATTTCCATTTCCATTGTTGAACTGCCAAAACGGTCTCACTCGGGTATAAACATAAAGATTAAATTAAATGTTAATTTATCTCATGCATATCAATCGTTAATTTTTTCACCTGCCATTTTTGAAATATGGCCTATCTTTGGCAGGCTGCTATTTTGAGCCCTGGTTTTCTAATTCTATCGGTATCATAATATTTCATACAATGTTTATCCAGCGTTTAGGCAAGTTTTAACGGAAAGTAATTTTCATCGTTTTGGCCAATGGATAACCACGGTTGACTGGTCTACCGTCCTTGAACTTGAGAGGCATGTGAAGATAAATATTTAGAGTTCCATAAACTAATTTCTGGCGCTGTCGATGCCTGTTAACGAGGAAACTCCATCATTGGATAATTTGTGTCAAAAATTTAACAACGCCTTTGTTAATATTTCATCCAACTTTTCCCCGCTCGATCATTGCCCGAATAGCCCTTCTATTCATGTTCCTGATGAGCTGTTAGTTTCAAGTAACGAGGTCTTTTGTGATCTATCGCACATCAAATCCCGCTCAGCAATTGGTCCTGACGGTATACCCAACCGGGTCCTAAAAGACTTTGCTTTCGAATTGGCCCCAGTTTTGGCGGTTATTTATAATTCCAGTATGAAGCAAGGCATTTTCCCAGAACAGTTGAAGGCATCGATCGCTATCCCATTACCTAAGTGTCATCCCCCTAAAGAAATAAATTCAGACCTACGTCCAATATCGTTGACTAACCAAGTTGCTAAGATTATGGAGGGTTTCACACTTAAAAGGTTATCCGACGATTTACTTCCTATGCTGGACCAATTTCAGTTTGCTGTTAAGGGAAAATCTACGACTCAGGCCCTCGTCTATTTAATGCATACAATTCTGGGCCATTTGGAAACTGGTGGTTGCTCTATCCGGCTTTTTTTTTCGATTTTGCAAAGGGCTTTGATCTAGTCGACCATAGCGTTCTCCTATCAGAACTGAATTGCTTTGGGGTGAATCCAGTTCTCCAAAACTGGGTTTCAGCCTTTTTGTATAAAAGATCTCAGTGTGTTAGAATTGGGAGTTCCAATTCCGAATACAGATATCTTATTGGTGGAATTCCTCAGGGGATGAAGCTTGGCCCATTGTTATTTGCCGTGCTCGTCAACTCGTTAATAAATTCATGGCACTATCGAGTTAAATTTGTTGACGACCTGACCTCACTGGAAATAATTCCTCGTAACTCTCCAAGCCTTACGCCTTTTTTAGTTAATGAGGTTAACCAGTATGCTAGTACTAGGCATATGAGATTGAATCCGAAGAAGTGCAAAGAAATGCGTATCTGTTTTCTTAAGTATAGATCACCAATTGGTGGTCAGCTGTTAATTGGTGGTCATCAAGTGGATTTGGTTAAGCATTTCAAATTGTTGGGAGTTTATATGTCAGATGATCTATCTTGGAACAAACATGTTGGTTATATTACTAAGAAAGGTTTCAAACGGTTATATATATTGAGACAATTGAAAATTGCTGGCATATCAGATAAAGACCTGGCTCTCATTTACATTTCTCTTATTCGATCAGTGCTTGAGTATGCTGCCCCCGTTTGGGCATCTTACCGCAGTACCTATCTGATGATATCGAATCCGTTCAACGAAGGGCATTAAAAATAATATTCCCAGACTTTGACTATTTTCAAGCTTTAGAGTCCTCTAAACTGCTTCAGTTATCTAATCGTAGAGATCGTATTTGTGAATCCTTCATGGCTCAACAACGAAAGTCAAGCTCTGTGTTGTCTAAGATCATTAACACTAATTACGAACCTACCATCACTCATTCGTATTCATTACGATCGCAGTCAAGGAGAGTAAACAATGTCCAAACAATCGTAAGAACTAACCATTTTAGCCAATTTGTAACAAATAAATTTTGAACAATTTATACAGTATATATATATATATATATATTTATACAGTATATATATATATATATATATATATATATATATATATATATATATATATATATATATATATATATATATATCCTTTTAATAATTACATATTTGTATATAATTTAGGTTTTATAACATAATCTATTTTTTAATCATGTACGTAACTCGTAATTCAGATGTAAATGTTCTGCAAAGAGTTATTTAATAAACCATTACCATTACCAACAACCGACACCTGGAAACTATAGTTAAAGGTGATGTAAAGTCCGTAATGTAAACAAACGCTTTGTTTACATTTTGAACTCAGTGCTACAGTTGTAAAATATGATTAGATATATATTATACTGAATTTTTAACACTTTTCTGGTTCGTTATGCTTGTAAATGAATACAGACTAGAGATTCAATTCAAGAAAGTTCGGAAAGTGCGAAATTTTAACAACATTGCAAAGGTTGCTCCCCAACTGATGGAATGTTTTGATGCGCAGAATATATGCGCAGAACGGACTTTACCGCATCTTTAAAATGTTCAGTACCGGTATATACAAAATTAAAGATGCTATAAAGTCCATATTCATGTGAACAAACGCTTTGTTTGCATTTTGTCTATTTTTCAACTCAGTGATAGAGTTGTAAAATATGATTAGAAATATATTATACTGAATTTTTAACACTCGTCTGGTTCGGATATGCTTGTAAATGAACACAGACTAGAGAATTCAAGAAAATTCGAAAGGTGCGAAATATTAATAACATTCCAATTGTCGGGTCCCGACCATTGGAATGCAGCAGGCCTGCATTCCAAATACAGGCCTGCGCAAAACGGACTTTGCAGCATCTTTAAGTTGAGCCAACATGTCGGACACTTGGAAAACATTCATGTAACTTTCCATTAAATTCTTTAGTGACCTTTTCACATCCCTTCTTGTATACTTCATAGCAACCTCGTACCCAGGGCTTCTGCGCTTATTGCTCTCAGAAGCCCTGGGATAATCCAAACCGGAACACCATAGAACAGTGGTGCCCCCGGAAGCAGAAGTAAACAGTAGCTCCAGCTAAAAAAGCTGACTGGGCATATTTTTACGCAAGGAGTGAGAATGGATTATTTGTTGCAATTTATGATATATTTGGACTTGTAAAGACGTCTTAAACTGCTTCTCGCGTGGCTTTTGGAATTTAAAGTCAGGAATGATCAATTTAGAGATACAATTATGTGTAAAATTAGCCCTTTGGCGAGCAAAAGAACATCTTATATCACGACAACAGCATACCTTGTCAGCGATATAAAGGGGCTATTCAATAATTAAAGTATAAATATTTATATTCGAGTACAACCTTGGTCATTTCAAAATTAACAGACTAGAAATCTTACTGGTAACATGGCTGGCTGCCGATTGTCTTGGATTTGAGGGTTTTGAACAAGATATTGCAAGATTTAATTATAAATGCACAAGATATACTGTCCTGTAAACATGCATCTACTTGAAGAATGTAAAATGAACAGCTAGTGATGAGTGATGTAATATAATTCTGCACTTTAATATTTGGAAAACCTTTTTAGCAAATCTTGAGAATAATGGCTTTGGGTATCAATGTTGAAAATTAAAAACTGTCAGATTGCTGCATGGACAGCATGGTTAGAAGCATACATGTCATCGGATGAAACTCCAACTTTTGTTAATTGCTGATGTTCTAGTATTGGAATGAACAGTGTTATAAGAACCAATGGTGCTGAACTAATTTGGGTTTATTATAAAATATTGTTTATCATTTAGTTCTGGCCATTAACCTTACCTATTAAGTTATACATTGTGTCTTACTTTTTATTTTACTCTGGTGTGCACCCCCCCCAGGCTCTGGTCAACAGGGGTGCATGGGGGGGTGCAAAAATGACGTTTATCCTAATTCTAACCAACTTATGTTAAGGAATTCAGTTGCGTATCACTAAGTTGACAATAGTGGAATAGCCAATATTAAATATTCTGAATTTTTAAATGTTTTGAGAATCTAAAAATTTTCCAGAATGTTTTCTCAGAATGCTGGAAATGCCATTTCAGAGACCCAAATTTAAAACATTTTCTGTGGTAGTATGCCCCCGGACCACCCTAGAATCCTCGCGCCTTCGGTGCTCGTTTCGCCATTGGTTAGCACCCCCCAAAAAAACTTTGCTGGATCCACCACTGCACCAGATGATTTTATATGTTAGGATAGATCATTGGTGTTCAATGTATTATCTAATAATACACACTAGTTTGTTAACCTACTCTGTCTAATCATTCTAACACCATCATTGGCAATGGTCATTGAGCAGTGATGTAGCCAGAATTTCTAATTAAGGCCTTCAAGGGGGGCTGAAATCCCCAGGAGGGGCCTGCACTAGTTTGAATAAAGTTTGTCAGTATGTAAAAATATATTTGGACTCCCAAGCTATCCATGTATAATATAGTACAATGTAGACTTTTTAAATTCTAGTTAATAAAGTGCCATTTTGGGGGGCTATTTTAATGTGTTTTGGTGATTTGAAATAACCTTGCAGTTAAAACATGTTCAACTCTAATTAATTACAAACAAGTTCAGAACATTTAAAATATTTTGACCCCCCACCCCCTCTGGTTACACCACTGGAATTGACTTGAGCCTTTTAGACCTCTGAATTTTAGTTGCAACTTAGAACAGTGTTCTGACATACAAGAAAATTGTAAGAAAATTTAAAATTTGTGCAAAAGCATTTCTCAAATACAGAGTCTCAAATAGGTCGTTCCAGAAAATATCCACACTCTCCCCACAGAGGAAATTTCTGCCATTCAGAGGGGGAGGGGGGAAAATTGTTTCTGATAATAGTAAATGTATTAGGACATCCAAAGGGGTAGAAGGGAATAACTTTCAATTTCCTCTGTGGGAGTGCATGGTATGGGTGTTTTCTAGAATGACCCAATATAGCTGTTTTTTTTTTCAAATCTAATCAAATTGTCAATCCTTGTACATGGGGAGGGGAAATTTTGGAGAAAGAAAAATTGTGACCAATCAGGTTGGGGGTCCACCTGTAGGCCCGGTCATAGGCATACAGGGCTGGGCTCAATTGTTGGGCAGACTAGGCCAGTCGGGCAATATTTACTTCATAGTTGGGCAATATTGGCTTATTATAAAAATAAATATGAGAAATTATTCCCTCAATATTGGGGGAAATATGCTATATAATGGTCAAAAATTTAGTTCATTTTGATTAATAGTCATTTAATATATGTGCTATCAACAGTTTCTTTATGGTATTAAGTAACAGATTACAATGTTTGTACATTAGAGACTTAGAGGCACTAATAACTCAATAATAAATAGGCACTAATACAAACTCTGAGCCTGTGCACCCAGCATTCTCAAATTGGGAATAATTTGTAAATTTAAATATTTGTGTATAATTCATAATTTATCCTATTCCAATACAAAATGCAATAAATATAGAACACACAATTTATCAAATAAAGGTAAAAAAGGTTTATTGTAAAAACTTTATTATGTAATATTTACATTGAATATCGTGGTTGAAGTTGTAGATTTATACTTGAAATTTCAATTTTCGAACGAGAAATGTTTCGCTTTATTATGTTAATTAATTTTTTTACTTTGTTCGCCATTCTTGCTTATTTACAAATACAAATAGTCCATTTCTTCTTTTGCTCTTTTCAAAATAGCCCAGAATTTGGTTCAAAAAAGTATTTTCATGCAAAAACCAGCATTTAACTCTTGTATACACTCCTTGTGATAGCAGACATGTTGCCAAAATATCACCCGGTTAATGAATAACTTCCGGTACCTTCATTGTATTCCCATTGACCAATCAAATCACGTTCTGAGTTGGATTATCCCAGGGCTTCTGAGAGCAATAAGCGCAGAAGCCCTGGGTACGAGGTTGACTTCATAGCATTTCTTGGGAAGTTGGATCTCTTTTGGACCCAAGCCATCCAAAGGAAAATGACACATGACATGACCTCTTCTCTCAAGCAAAACCACATTCCCTTTATGTGGTCGGGAAAAGGATCTTGCTCCGAGTGTTTCTTAGTGTGATGTACGTCGAAAGCTTTTGTGGACATAAATGCCTTTCTGGTTGCTTCTATAATCTGGATATTTGCCATCATACGTTCACACATCTTCACACTTGTATGTCCTTAATTGAATAATATGAACTAAATTATGTGCTACAAACAGAACGTGAGCAATTAATTATGCGTTGTGGAGAAAAAAGTGAAAGAAAATCAACAAGCAACATGTAGTTTGAACAAGTTTCTTAAAGTACAGAATTTATTTTTACCAGGTTGTAGTACAATGGAAAGTAATTTAGAACCGATTTACAACAGACATTTTTTGAAAAAATGCGCATTCCGGCACCTCATTTTCAACAAACATTTCCGGATATGACATATAACCAATTTGCGGAATAACAACTGCCTGAAAAATATAAGCAAAACTTCGAGGTTTTGAGTGAAAAGAAAAGTCGAAGTTTTGCTTATAAACTACATTACTCATTAGTACGTAGTGTTGCACGTTGTCATTGACATTGTACATGAAGAACAGTAAAGCCAAAATTAAATAAATAAACAAGCAGTTAGATTTACCTGTCACATAGCTTTTTAATGGCTTCACTAAATGCTCTTCAACAAATTCATCCATAGCTAGATCGTGCCCTTCCTTGCCAGATAGACTAATGGAGCAATTTCGCCTCATCATTTCCCTGAAAGCAATAGGCCAAACCGCTGTAAAGTTTACCACATGGACCAAAGCTTCCATCCAGTAGTTCTGAAACTGAAGTTGTGCAAATATGGGCAACAGAATCTTCCAAATAGCCTCCCTTGTTGTTCCAAGACCGTTCCTAATCACGTCATTCATCCCTTCAAGAAGCGGAGCAAATAGATCGATCATTTGCATGGTGTATGCGAATGACTGATCCTGTTCTGCACATCTTGATAACCACTGCTTGAATGACTTGAGAAGGATATCGTTGTGATTACCGGGCAAAGTCAATTGTTCATCGAAATCTTCTTTGCTGGGAAAGTCTTCTGAAATTCTGAACTGCAGCGAGACCAATCGCCATAGCACCATCTCTTACAGCTTCTTGTATTCTTTGCAAGTTCTGTTGCTGAACACAGTGGTTGGTTGCTATGCATTTTGCTCCCGGAAGCGCGGGCTTTGTTTTTTCCAGCAGTGTTGGTGTGAATGCGAAATGGCGTTGTTTATTAACCTTATAATCGGAAAGGTCATGTATTTGGCTTAAAATTTCTTGCGGTTAAAACAAATTTGTTGGTATATTTTAACTGATTTATAAACTTCCATATTTAAATGGAACGATTGTGATAATTTTATTTAGCTGTCAAATAACTGTCGGAACTATTAACTGCCGTCGAATACCTCTAGCATGCGCCGCAGACGATATATCATATTTGCTCCCGTATAGTTTATATTTCATAATACGGAACGCAAACCAATGTACAAACTGTTCCTCTTTCCGCCTAGACTCGTGTTTCTTCATCAGTATATGCAGGTAATTTTGGGGAAATTATCTGATGCTGCTAATACATAACATATATCGATTTAAAGTAATATATCGACAGCCGGACAGAGAAACATACTGACTGTTTTGGTTAGTCGCGTCAAAAAACCTAGCTATACTATAGTTCTCGCAAGAATATTTGTTTGTTGAATATGTTCTATTATAAAATGCTTTCATATTATATTTGTGTACGATGTATTTTTGAGATATTCATATATAAACACATAGTTCCATTTGACAATATATATAGCAGATTTAGCTACAGTGCAATCATACCTGCGAAGTATACTACAGCCTACTACAGTTTATTATTTATACTGCGCAAGATCCGTAACCGCATAAAATAATAGTAACATACAGTATACTAGTGATTTAAATTCCTTAAGATACGCAGCTTTCCCTGAAAAAGATTTCATGTCTTTACGCACACTTAATTTTATCATTTAGTTACAATTCCAAACGTTTTTCATGATGGTTTTCCGTAGATCATAGTACATCTACCACTATATATCAGATTACAAAGGCATGTTGTCTTTAATAGCGAGAAAACGGTTAAATAAAGGCATGTGCAACTGATTTCTTTTGTAAACTATAACTCAGTCTTCTGTAGTTATATTAATGTAAATAAAACATGCATAAGGCATACAATAAGCTTTTATCGAAGTCAAGAAACCAGCTAACTCAAGACGCGCAGCATGAGGTGAAGTAAACAAATATGAACCTCGCGTGACTTGCATGACAGATCTCCTTGGCTTCTATGAGTTAAAGAACAGAACTTTTCCCCCAAAACTATCGGGTAGTGGTCTCTGTGTGTTGCACACTCCTGGATGTCCTTTATTTCGATCACATGTTTGACTTTTATGGCAATAATCTATCGAACTAAAAAGGCAACATAGCGGGAAGTGAAGCAACAACATGGCGCATCATGAACGCCTATAAAATGCAAAAGCGTTCGTCAAAGAGACTTTTTCCCACACCTTTCTCCGGCACTGCTATCCATTTAGACTTGTTAAATAAATGTTATTCTTCAACTTTGCCTTGAAAAGTTTCTTCCAAATCAAGTTTCAACAAAAATATTTGAAAAAAACAAGGAAAAATGCCGAATTCTTAGCTATTTCTGTTAATAATTCCGGCAATGCTGCGAATACAGCAGGGTTTTCAAGGGGGGATTGTAGGCCATGCATGTGCGATGCTGTGGGACCCCTAGACAGTACAATTTGTCCTTCTCGGCATGATTCTCATCGCTCAAAAGGCGAAAATACATGGCGACAACCACACCAACATTTTACCGTTTTCACCGTATAGGTTATTTGTGCACACAAACTAATAGACGGTTCGATGTAGTACAGATTGAGCAAGTATCATTTTAAAATGTTGAAAAATAAACGCAAACAGGAGCGCCAAAGACGCAGTATTTGAACCGCGCCATAATTTACAGCTGGGAAACCGGAAACCAATATACGCTGGCAATTTGACTCCGGGAGCAAACTGCATAGCAACCGGCCATCGTGGAAATTTTCCTGCCCGAAAAGCTTCATCAATGACTTTTGGCCTTGTATGAGCCTTGTATGCTGCTTCACAAAGGTAACCTTTCGTGTGCAGATCACCAGGTACTTCTGCTACCCATTTGAATGCCTCTTGTGAACGGTGTTTTGCTGACCTAAGGATCTTACAAGTTCCTTGATCTCCTACAATCGCAGTTGGACATTGTACATTCACACTGCGGTCAAATACAACACCAACCGTGTCATCACCATCTCCATCATTACTCGATGTTTCCATTGAAACATCAGAGCAGTAATTGCTTCCATCGTTGATTATCTTGTCAATATCATAATCTTCCTTTTCCTGATATTGAAACAATTCGAGAATATCTGTCAATTCCATATTCTCTGCCATGTCCATAGGAGACGGCATACTGGCATACAACGGTCCAGAAAAGGAAGCAAAATTTTGAACAAGTAATTCGCACATGACATTGTAACGGTTTAAAACTGCAATAGAAAGTGGCGTGGCGCCACAACCTTCTTGGATGTTGATGTTTAATCCACAGGAAATCAGTGTTTTGACTAAGGGGATATTATTATATTCCACCGCATAATGTAATATGTTACGACCGAGATAATCTGCAACATTCTCCCACTCCTCTTTTGTATCTTGCAACTTTTTAACAAGTTTATTTAATTGCTCGTTATCTCTTGATTGCATTGCAGTGATCATGTTGTTATTTATGCGATTGTACAATTTGATCAACTTTCCATCTTGCTGTTGGGAAAAGCGAGTTGTGCTTTCGATGGTTTCTGCAGGTATTTCATTAGTTTCTCCATCCTCATCTCCCCTACTTTCGTTGGATTCATCGACAATGGTTTTCTCAGTAGACCGTATCTGTTCGTCTATGACAAGGGAATTCTTTCGATGATTAAACAGCATGATCATAAATTCATGATGTTTTCTAGCAGAAGTAAGTTCATAACACTTATTAGTTTCGTCAAAAACAAAGTGTCTACTTGCATGTTTACATGGAATTTTAAATTCCCTGCTAAACTGTTCCAATATTGAAGCCGTGCCTGTGAGTGTGGAATTATTTTCCAAGGACAAGGGTAATATTAAATATTCACTTTTCCCCATCAACGGAAATTCTCTTTCCAATTGAGGAATATCAATCTGATAAGATGCTTCTCCACATGCTTCATCATTTGTAGTTAACAAGGATTCTTTGATCCAAGCATCACATTTTTTATCACTTAATTCATCAATTGGCTTTGAACAGGATGGTATTTTGTTTAGGCCAACGTCCAGAAGCTTCAGGAAATACCGATCTTTAATTTCACCCCACAACTCTTCATGCTTTGCATCTCCACCTAATCAAAAATGAAAACATTGTAGCTTTGCTGATATATTTGTAGAGGTTATTGAACGGTGCACGAGATAGTATATATAGGACGGTGCCTGAGACCGTATATTTTCCATTAAATTATAACTTAGCTAATACATGGGAGATCATCTCCACCTGTTTCAATGTAATTATGATCTTCAAGGTGAAACAGATGGCAGTGAAGACTTTGGGGTATAAGCTATTCTGTATTGCACAGGATGTACATAGTCATACGGTAATACACTGTTGATTCAAACGATGCTCGTACAATAAAACACAAAATGCTCGGAATAAATTACTCTAATACGTTCTTTCGGTAACAACAATGCAAGAATGTACATTGACCTTATTATTTTACTCTGTCTAATAATCAGGTGAAGATTGCTACCACTATTAATACTCATCAGGTGAAGATTGCTGCCACTCAATGGGTTAATTAAATCATATATGTTAAATGTACAACATACCAAGTAAAATATCACTTGCTTCAAGATCTGTAATCAATATTTGTGGTTTAGCATAGCTATTGGGATCTTGAAAGTGATGTTCAATGCCATGAATGCTTGGACGCAATGCTGCTCTCACTGAAAAGTTCCACAGCTTAGGTCCTAGTAACCTAACCAGCCTTTCATGTCTTCTTCTTCCTCGATACAAATTTATATTATCGATGAGCATAATCACAGATGTTTCTGTTGGGAACTTTTCATTTATAAGATGTTGAGACTTCTCAAGCAGCTTGTCTAAATAGCCCATACTAAATGAGGTTATAAAAAATTAACAAATTAAAAATTTTCTTATAATCATGATTCCGGGTGGATTCATTGTGTTACGTACCATGCTTGAAGTGATGTATTTTGAAGGGAGGG